TGTGGGCTTTGTTGCTTCTGAGCTAGATGGCCGCTTGTTTACCTTCAAGCTGATATAAAGCTTTCTTATACATATATAAGTGTCTCTAGATTTGTTTCTCTAGTCAACCCAGATTAACACAAAGATCTAGGAAACGTTTGGTACACTTGAGAGACTTGGAAAATGAGACGAGAAACCTCCACTCTACTGCACAGGAAGGACCTCTGTAGGGCCCTTTTCCCCTGTTGTTGGCATGTATCAAAACTTTGACCTTGTGCCTGCCATACTGAGTTTCCTGCCTTTATTTACCCTTGATATTCCATTAATAGTGCCATAGACAAACATCTGGGACTCTATCCATCCCTTTAGGACACAGGCTGAATCCCAAAATGAATTGATGTTCATCCCCCCAAATTCCTGCCCCAATTTCCATCTTCTGAGATCATTGCCCTTGAGGAATTCATAGCTTAATGAATACAAAAGAAGTCTAATATTGCTAGTTATCTATGTGATAGGATTAAGTTGCAAGTGCTCTAGAATTTGAAAGCTGGAGACCATACTCACATCCAGAGATTCAAGACAGTACCAGCAGAAGGCGTGTTTACAGTTCTTACACATCATCTGGGCACAGCCTTCATCACGCTCGATGTGGACTTTGCACTTGGGGCAGCGCTTGATGGGCGCATCAGCCTCTTCCATTTTAAAAGCCGAGCTGTAAGAGAAAGTCCATCAGCATCACTCACCGGGGGCACGTGTTCCACTAGACAGACTGAGGCTACATCTCTTTCAGTGAAGCCAAACCAAACCAAAGGGCCCCAAACCCAGAAAGTAATAACCACAGATACTATGAGGGAGCGGGTGTGGGGTGGTGGTAGGAAGCACTGTCAGCCCATGTGCAAGTTCAGATTTATGGACAGACGGACAAAAGCGGGACAAAGTACTGGGGGTGGAGGACATGCAGTGATGAAGATAATTATGGTTAAAGTTCATGTTCTTATTCATTCCTTTCCAAAGGGTTGATAGCACATTTGCATGTACCATTTTACTAGCAAGAAAAACACCCTGCTATATACATACACACACACTAATCCCTTGGATATATATGGCTGGTCTTTACACAACTGTTCTGAAAAATCTGGTTGGCTAGCAGTGGTTAGAATGGTGGGCTTTCAGCCTGAATACAAGTGCTCTTCTCCTTAGCCCCCGACCCCTGCCATCAAGTCAATTCTGACTCCTAGCCACTCTATGGGAGCGGACCACCTCATCGTCCTCCAGAGAAAAGGCTGGTGGCTTTCATCCTTCCAAAACTTGCCAGACAGTGCCCCAGGGCTCCTCCTACTCATTAGCTATGTCAAATCATTCCTGAGCATCCGTGCTCTCACATGGTAATGATAACACCTCTTGTTGATAAAACAGGTAAGACAGATATTTAAGTTTGGCTGTGGAAAGATAAGGAATTTTAAAAACAAGGCTAAATAAATGCAGGAAAACAACTGGAGGAATAAGAAGTAAACTGCTCGATGCAGTTACAGTATTATGATGGTGCCAGGTTACAATGAACCCATACTATCAAGCACGCAATGTGCAGGGAAGTGATCGAGCTTTCGGGAAGAGAGCCTTTCAGATACACTTATGAGTGTAAACTCTTCAAGTTGGACACAATTTACAGGGTGAGTGGAGTCTGGCTTAGATTCCGCCACATTATTCTGCCGCCTAGTAACTCAGCCTCACAGCAGGGACAGAGCAGCTCCCGGGGTGCGCACTTTGTGTCCGGCAGAGGAGGCTGCCCCGTCTCACTATCGAGGAGAGGCTGGTGGTTTTGAAATTTGAATCTCCTCATTAGCAAGCCCAGCACTCAGCCCATGGTAACACCAGGGCTCCACACACACACACTGAATATAAAATAAAGTTTCACTGTAGTATGAATTATCTAATGATCAATAGTGAACTTTTATACGCTGCATTCACAAGCTTTCCCAATCCCACGGCTCCTCCCCTCGGAGGTGAAAGTGATTCTGTTTTGTCACTAGTAGAAGATGACAGATAACAAAGTATTACGAGAGGAGCCAGTACTGTCGAACCATTGGGAGTATAAATTCTGGAGGCAGACAGACAGATCTTGGCTGTCTTATTCGCCTTATCTGCAAGAACTAAAATAGTTTCAGATGGGTACTGTGAGAAGTAAAAAAATCCCCTTGTTTTAAGGACGCGGGCACAGACCCTGCCCTTGGAGAGTAAACCAAACCAAACCAAACTCACTGCAGTTGAGTCTGTGCCGACTCACAGTCATAAGCACTCCGTAATGGTGGTGTCGTTGTTGTTACGGCCTTCAAGGGGTGCTGATTCATGGCTGACTATAGCAAAAGGAATGCAACACTGCCGGGTCCTGCACCAGCCTCACAGTTACTGATCCGCTGAACCCATTGTTGCAGCCACTGTGTCAATCCGTCTTGTCAAGGGTCTTCCGTGCGGTTTGCTGACCCAGCGCTTTACAAAGCAAGCCAACGGCTGCGGTTATATCACGAGGACCGGGAGGCAGTAAAACTGTCTCGAGTTCAAGTCTTTCTCCAGTGTAAAAGTACGCTGTGGACTAGACTGTCCCTGCACAATAGGCTTCCAAGTAAAGCAGAGGTCTTAAAGGAGGTGAATGAAATATGTGCACAGGTACCTCAACCACGTGCTGACCTGGCATGAGGTCAGCTTTGGTCAAATGCAATCTGTATCCTCCTTCTATGGTAATGGTGGCTTTTGGAAAGGTGTAGACACCATGAGCCACCAAATCCAGTGATTAAAGGAAGTGATCGGGCTAGAAAGCGTGGTTTTGGTTTAAAGCCTGGTGTGCTTTTAAAAGTACTGAGAGACCTCTGTTCATGTGACTTGTAAGCCCATTAGGAGGGCATGTCATGGGCAGTGCCACATTGATGGGTGAGCAGCGGATCGCTCAGCATGTAGTCACATTATGCATATAAATTTACATGAATAGATAATGGCTTAACAATGTTTGGTATTTCATTTGCCTTTCAAAATCATATCAATAACTCTTAGTACAAACTCAAATATATGAGGTTTGATAGGAGCTTTTGGCAGTTTAAATGACAATTTGTACCTCAGAATGCCTTGCCAGACTGACACGTCATTTAGTGCGTGAGCTGGCCAGGGCGTGGGAAACTACAAGGGCACGGCCTGGTGGCACCGCAGTGAAGCGCCCAGAGGGCGGCTCAAAGCCTGTGCCCAGCTAAAATCCTGGCCACCTGCAGATAATAGCCAGAGGAAAGCCCACTCCCTGTCGCCAACAAAGGGACATCTCACACTTTTCCCCCTTCCTTCTACTTCAAAAAAAAAAAAAAAGACTGGGTTATGAATAACAACTGCCACTCGGTCTGGGCAACATGAGAGAGTGGTGACACGCGGCAAACCTGGAGACAGTGCACAGAGCTCCCTCGGCACTGGCAGCTGCTGCCCAGACCAGGCGTCAGCTACAGGTGGCTAAATACCAACTTCTCAGAGAGCCAAAAAGTTCAGCTCTTTATGTAAATGCTCTAGTTTTCAGTATCTACATAAATACATTTCTTTATTTTAATTTGTCCTTGTAGAATGACTTCAATGCAACCAGAATAGCATGTGAAAAAAACACACTGCCGGCAGACTCCAAACACTGACTAACCTCCTTCTTAAGAAGGTTTTATTCTAAGGAACTATCAGGGCCGGGCTCCCTCCTCCATTGCACGAGGAAAAGCACATTGCACTTCTCTCAGCAAGCACGCAGAGCTGGTCGATTTACCGGGAAATCCCCGCGAGGACATCGCACCGTGCTGCTTCAAGGGGGAAACAGCCCACGCTGCTGCTTTCTTCTCCTCTTCACTCCTGGAAGCCAGCGATTTTGAAGGGATCGCACATGAAGTCTATTACTCTCTCTACACTCTCAAAGTGCCTGACCCCCTAGCCCAACCTTTAAGAGTATGAATGATTCATACAAGGAGAGGAGGGAGTGCCTTAACCGGTGACTGGAACTCGGTGGTTTGAAGTCAGCAGCCGCGGCAAGAGAAAGCTCTGCTCTGTCAAGTCTTACAGCCTCAGAAACCCTGTGATTCTGATCTGTCCCCTGGGACCACTCCGATGCCAACTGTTTGTATGCTGGTCTGGAGGGAGATGGAGGTGGAAAAGCATGGGCAAGACACCTGGAATTCAGACTCTTGGAAGTGTTAGCCACATAAATGGATAAATTAAGACACATTGTGGCTCCTATTGATCTGTGTAGACAATCTGCAGTTGGAAATAGAGCCCCAGCAGCACAGTGGTTACATATGGGGCTATTAACCACAAAGTCAGCAGTTTGAAACCTGCTGAGGGAGAAAGATAGGCTATCTACCCCCGTAAAGAGCTACCGTCTCAGAAACGCACAGGGGTAGTTCTAGCGGGTCCTAAGGGGTCGCCAGGAGTTAGAATCTCTCAGTGGCAGAGAGTGTGGTGAGTCTGGCAGTTGGAAGACAGGGTGGAGTCACTAACCCTGCCCTACTAGAAAACTTCAAATTCTTCACAAAAAGGAGCCTTGACCCGTGTGCTGAATCACAGGAAGGAAGGGGGGTGATGAAAGGGCATTCTGGGTGGGACAAACTCTCCAGCACAAGGGAGGGCAAGGGGGGTGTCCGTCTCCCAGGCCTATCGGTCAGGCTGCAGGCCTGTGGACGGCGGCAGGGCAAGCCGGAAATGAAGGCAAAGGGCAGCTGTGTGGCAGCAACCACCGAGTCCATAGAAATGGGCAGCCGCGGGGACTTTCTGCTGCAAGGAACGTGGCCTCAGAAGGGAAGGAAGGGGCGGCTCTATCTAACTGAACCATGTGAAAAGGCACGGACAGTTGGTGCCTATCAATTTCTTTCTTTCTTTCCAAACCAGGTAGTGTCTAACTTTGCACGTTATACACGCTTATATCCCCAGGACTTTGCAGGGGACACAGTTCTCGCAAATAAAGTGTCAGGCAGACAAATAAAGGGCTGAATAAAGCTCAAGAGAAGTGTCCAGTGGGAATGACTAAGGTGCAGTCCTGTCCTCTGGTAGAAGGGGTGGGGGGAGTGTGTCTCCCTTCCCCCACCCTCAACCCCCCACTTGGAGCTTGGAGAATACCTGGTTTCGCCTGGAAGGAAGGTGATTGGCATGGTATCCTGGCAGCCCTGGTCAGGGTGCCAGCTGGCTTTGCAGGCAGAGCAGAATTCCATGTCACAAGCTTTGCACTGGACCAGCTGAGGGGCCGGCAGCCCCGGTTCCTGGAGCCGGCACACGGCCTGGCAGGTGGACGCTGGGCACCACGTCCGGCAGGGGTCCAGGAGCACCTCTGCACAGGGAGACAAATGGGAGCATCTGTCAGACTCGGAAGAACAGGTGAAAGCACCACGCTGCAGAGTTGAAAGAGGATGTCAGTGCATCGTGCAGCATCGTACTGGCTAGAGGACAGACAGACAGACAGTGCAGTCAGATGAAAGCAGCCCTTCTTGATTTGGCACCTGTCTTGCTCTTCAGCCTCCCCTCTAACCATTCCCAGCTTCTCACTGACCACTCACTTGGGAGGGTGGCTCACCTCACATACCCAAGAGTCCTTTCCATTGACCGCTGCCACCCAGAAGGCCCTAGATGACCTGCGAGACACACTGCTTTTCCGCAAAGGCTCAGCTTGGATGCCACTACCTTCTGGCAGTCTTGCCTGGCCACTCTGCCTTCGTTTTCTCTGGTTCCTGCAGCCCCCTGGTCCTTACTGCTGCTCTGTCAGTCTGTTTCGGAGTCTGCCTCCCTCCAAGCTCCAAGCTCACTGCCACCTAGTCGATGCCATTGCACGGCAACCCTACCGTACAAGGGAGAGCTGCCCCTGTGAGCTTCTGGGTCTGCAACAGGAGTAAGCCCCGTCTTTCTCCCATGGGAGTGCCAGTGGTTTCTAAGTGCTGACCTGTCGGGTGCAGCCCTGGCGCAATGCAAGGCACTCAGGGAATGGGATGGAATGAAGACAACTGAAATATCCAACTCATCAAATGATTCCTTTACCTAATATTGTCCAACCTCCCGAATTTAAATTGAAGCAACAGGTTTGTAATTATGGTTTCATGAAACTACTGCTTTGATGACCCAGTTTGCTCTCTGAAGTTGAGTTCACGTGACTAAGAATCCCAGTCTAATCAGATTTTCCAGGAAGTATAGTTTTCAAAGCGGGGCACTCCCGTTCCTTCAAATTCTTGTTCCAGATCTCCACTTCCTTAAACAAGCGGCCTGTGCTGTCTCTGCTTGTGAGCCAGTTGTTCATTTTACTTGTACAGAGTGACACTGAATCCTTAATGAGGGGAGAGCAAGAAGAACCCTACCAGGAACCTGCATGGAGTGCTAACTCACTGCCCCAAACCTATCGGCTGAAGCATTATCGGGCACTAAGTTCAAAGGTCTTTAAGTAGGCCACTGGTTCCTAAGTGTTTCAGCAAGATTGCTCTTGGGAAGCAATTCAAGACAATGGGGTTTTTGGAGGGGGATCTGGAATGTGGTGAGAAGCCCCGGGCGAACACCTTGGTCATATGACTGTTAGCAAGGACAAGTTCAGTCAACGGGCATTAAGCATTCTAATAATTACACACTCAGAATCTCTAATGTGTGGAGGCTGCTGCCTGGGTCGGGACATCACCAAAACACAGGCTAGCTAGAGATTCAGTTACTAATTCAGTAGGCAGGTGTTTCCACCACATACACATACACATGCATGTCTTGCAATTCCCCGTTTTACTGAAGCTAGACTCCGGCCACTGGGAATGTTGGGGTCAAGTGTAACAGACACAGTCAGATGGTCAGCCCTACAGGTTTTTGGGTTAGAGGCCAGTGAGTAATTTAGTCTCTGTCACAAGGACTGCTGTTTAGCAAAAATTATCAAAGACAACACAAGAAGGAATGTGTGTGGCTATGTTCCAATGTTCCAATGAAACTATCTACAAAAACTTCCCGAGGGCTGCCCTTGACCCAATAGCCATGGTTTGCTGACTCCCAATACAAATGACTCTATCGATCATTATGGAAACAAACTGCCTCCTCTTTCTCCTTTAGAGCAGCTGGTGGATTCGAACCATTGACCTTTCGGACAGCAGCCACCCTTAACCCAATCTGCCAAGAGTTCCTAAGATGTGGAAGAACTTGATACTATAAAGGGACTCTGGGTTGATGTCAGGAAAAAGTGCCCCTCTTTGAACTGTTTTTCTTTATAACAATACAAAAAAAGCTTTCACGAGACATTTCATAGGAAGTAGCAGTATAATTAGGTCTTACTAGTTAACAATTTTCAATATTCCTTTAAAAAAAAAATTCTGGCCATCAGGTCTGATGAGGTGACCTGCTGAGAAAAATGTTGTTGCCTCAGAGGACACATGTTGATGATGGCCTCTCTGAGCGGAGGACACAGCAAGAAGAGCAGAGAGAGGAGCCTGGGCTGGCCCACGGAGAACCGGGACCAACTGGCTGTTTGGAAGATATTCCCAGGGCAGGCCAGCTGGGACCGGGGTCCAGCCCAAAGCTAGAAGCTGCCCCATGAACACTCCAATTTCAGTCCCATCTAGGAGACCTGCATCCCTGTATGTTTCCTCTGCAGCTCTGCCGGAGCCTGTGAGCGGGCTGTGGGTGCACGGCGCCCATGGGGCTCTGGGGGTAATAGGTGCCGATGGTGCTGCCCAAGGGCCGACAAGGGAAGGATCATCTTTAACCTGTTCTTTGTGTTCCTTCCAGGTGGACACGCGGTTAGTCCCGGCTACCACAGAACCTAAATGGACCCTGACGCTCAGCTAGGGAGCCAATGGTCTGATTTAGATCTTTCAAGCTTCCACTGCTCTGGCCAGGGGCAGGCCCCAAAGCCTGATACGATACGTGCTCCCTCCACTTCATTCTCCCTGCCCATGAAGATGGAAGGGCACGCTGCCTCGTGAGCAGAAAGGCCCCGCTGAGCCAGGGAGCGAGCGGGTGGAAGAGGAGAGCGGGTTGAAGTTATTCTAATTGTCTGACTTTTACACTCACAGAGCTGTGACATGGCATTGCCTGGCCTTGCTGGAACAGTCCCCTATCAGAGAAATAGAAGAGCAAACAAGCCCTCTGTTCAGTTTGCCTGCTATAACAGCCCTTCCTGTGCTGCCAGGAACATTAACCTGTGAACATAGGTTAAGCAAGCTTATGGGCCAAAGTGCCTATCAATATTCTAAATCACCATCCCCACTGCTGGTTTCTGCTGGCTGTGTGTTTAAGACAAGGATAAATCAGCAAGAAAAAGCACACTGGGAAACATTGTACATTTTCTAAAAATGTTTTTATGTGTGTATATAAAATTTTATATATGATATAATATGTATACATACATGTTGTCATATATTATATCGTAGGTGTATATGTTATGTCATATACAATATACTGTATGTATACATATGTACGTATATTATGTCTTCACAATAGTGTGTGTATATATTATGTCGTATATGACATAGTGTGTACAAATATACATATATTGTGTCATATACAATAGAATATGTGTCTATATATACTTGTATTATGGCATGTACCATATACACACACACATATTCAAAATATGATGTGGCCATATACACAGATGAAAGATGGGGTCTTCTACTCCTGTAAAGAGTCACAGTCTCATAAATGCACAGGGACAGTTCTACCCTGTCCTTTAGGGTCACCGTCAGTCAGCATTGACTTGATGGCAGTGAGTGTGGAGTTTGGTCACACGCAATACATCATGTGTATCTAACTGGGATTAAAAGATAAAAGAAGCTTTCTACAAACTTTTTAAAGCCCCCTTATGTAACCAATACACATTAGATATGGCATACATTTATGAGCTATAATATAAACAGTTGCCAATGAGTAACGGCAGTTGCCCCTCTGTGTGTCAGAGGAAAACAACGCCATCGTTTTCAACGTCTGCTCTTTTGGAAGCAGATCACCAGGACTTTGCTCTGAGGCTTCTCTAACCTTTCAGTTAGCACCAGACAGGTTAGCCATTTGCACCACGTCAGTATATAATAGATGTTACAATGTATTGTATATACATATATTCTCTAGCCATACCTAGAAGGCAAACAGGATATTCCTAGCATACTAGAATAAACTAATCATAATTGAAATCTCCCAAAGATATATTAACAACAGATTAATGATATATGTCTCTGCTGTATGTCAATATTTATGAAAATGTCAAAGACTTATTTAAAAGGTTTATAAATAATATTTAGACTTATAACTAGCATTGTTTTAAAACTTTCAGAAGTACTCTGGTAAGGAAAGTACATCCAATGTACCCTGACATATTAGCTCCTACTGTGCTTGCTGAGTTGCTGAATTTACTCCAAGGCTGAGGTTGTGGATAGGATCCATTTGCAGGGTCCTCAGGTTTAGCCAGGCCGTAGTAAGGATGCATAACTCTGGCTGGTCATTATTATCTCAATCAATAAAATTATTTTAAAAATTAAAAAAATAACAATCCCTCACCAATTATTGCCAATGGGGAAGCAATGGTTCTGTCTGGAGAGGATCAGCTCCCGGAGAGCTCAACATGAGAAACATCCAGTACGTGCAGGGATATAAGATATCAGACATGCCCAGGAGAGCAGTCAACTCTGTCTTTCCCTCAAAGTCCCAGGGGAAACTTGGGCGTTGGAAGACTGGGGGTGTAGGTGCTCAGGAGACACAAACCCACAGCTTGCTTCTCTAGCTTCCTGCTTGCCAAGGGCCCCACAGGGAGTAAACCAAACCAAACCAAATTCACTGCCATCAAGTGGATTCTGACACAAAGTGACGCTGTGGGAGCACGAGCGCTCCCCAGGGTTTCTGGGGCTGTAAGTCTTTGCGGGAGCAGAGCTGGGGGGGGGGGTGCCATCTGCTGACGGGGCTGCTAGCAGCGCAGCATTTCCCCACTCTGCCACCAGCGCCAGTGGAGGAGCAAGGAAGTCTGTGTTAAAATCAAGGGTGTGGTATCAGCTGGAACACTCTGAGATGAAATAGAGACAGTGTTTGCCACTTACATTTAGTAAGTAAATGTTAGCAGAAAAATCATAGAACAATTAGAGTTTTCATCCAGGCATCCTTAACTTATCCATTTAAAGGAACTGAACAAGTTAAAGTGGTGTTCTAGTCAAATCATAAAGCTGCTCAATGTACTGGGCACACTGGTAGCTGCTGGATGCTACCACGATAATTCACTTTCAGTTCTAACATTGTAACATTTTACTCAGACAGGATTTTTGTCTGATTAAGTCTGAATCTAATTTTTGTTTTTCTTTTTAGAATAATGCCTACAAAATCTTTTATAGTATTATCTTTGAATGATATTTTCTTTAAACCTACGTCAAGTTGGCCTCATTTTTATGCAATTAGAAAAAAGAAACCTGATTAAGTCAAAATGCTGAATAACAACAGTTAAAATTATTAGCTACCAAATTTACTCAGCTGGGTTTTTAAACTTAAAATTCAATGTCACAGAAGGTTCATTTTCTTGTAACCCAAACAACAGCCAGTTTCTGTTAAAATTCTCTCTGGAAAATGTTCTCAGAAGAAGCTGGAAGCCTTAGAAATTCAAATTAGTCCATTCTATAGCGCCACATGGGGACTCTTATACCATGCATTCTATTCAACTGTAAATTTTTGCAAACCAAAATGGCCAATGCCACTCAACAACAGACTCTTGAGAGCAAACTTCAATGCCATCAGAATCTTGCCTGATTTTTCTAAAGTTGGCCACACACTTGTATTTTTTTTAAAGTAAGATTTAAGAGGAAATATAGCTATCTTTAGCATGTCTTGTTGCTTAAAGTATCACATTCACCTAACCTAGGAGTCTCTGGGTAAGTCCCTCTAAGGGATTCTGCATTCCATTCCCTAAGCAGTCCAGGGTTGTCACTCAGCAGTGAATGCCCTGAATCCTCAAGAAGATGAGAGCCTAGGGTTAAGCAAGAGGAAGGAAAGTACTCCTGTGATGAAAAACCCAGGTGGAAGTTCTGGGATTCTGATGCAGCATCTTCACAAAGAAGTTTTGCGTTAAGAAGCTCCACGTGCATACTTCTGTTATTCTGATATTTCACAGACGGACTCACTGCCCAGAATATAAGAGGGGCTTCTTATAGTTCTTGGAAAATTCCATGATCTATTAATTCTATTTTTTTCATGAACTTTTTGAAGACCCATTGAATGTGAAAAGGAGGCCCAATGGAATCAAGCATATATATTTATATAAGATATATATGTGTGTATACATATATGTGTGTATATTTTATATGTAACATCATTATATTAATATATGTGTGTGCATAACTATTTGTGTGTGTATATGTAGATGCACACACACATATATCAGCCCTGGTGGCATAGGAGTTACAGACTAGATGCTAACTACAAGGTCAGCAGTTCAAAACTACCAGCCACTTCACAGGAGAAAAATGGGACTTTCTACTCCTGCAAATATTTAGTCTCTGAACTTGACAGGGGCAGTTCTGCCATGCCCCAGTCAGAATCAGTTTGATTGCAGTGAGTTTTGGGTTTTTTCTCTGTTTGTTTTGAAGAACCATTTTACAGAGTAAATATCCCTCCTGGATATTTAAAATGTTTTAATCATATGTAATGCAATCTTGGAATTAATGTTAAGTTACTCTGCTGACACTGGTGTGGAGAATCCTGAAGTTTGTACCAGCCTTGCTGGACAATGATGCCGGAAAGATGCTGAAGGCTCAGTCAGAGCGTATTGTTCACATTCTTCCCCACCCCTACCTACTCAAAACCAAACCAAACCAAACCCACTGCCATGCAGCTGACCCAAACTCACAGCAAGCCTCCCTATGGGACAGAGTAGCACTGCCCCTGTGGGTTTCTGATACTGTACCATCCTTACAGGAGTAGAAAGTCTCATCTTTCTGCCTTGGACTGGCAGCTGGTTTCAAACTGATGGCCTTGAGGTTAGCAGCCCAATGCACACATAGTTCACTATGTCACCAAGGCTCCTTTAGAACAGTAGCATTCAGGACAAGTCAGTCAGCCTTTCTGGGCATTAGCACTACAGATGATAACCAGCGACCCTTGTGGGACGGTTGTGAGGGTTTATTGAGATGCATGGTCCATTAGGTCGCTCAGCATCTGCTAGTCTGGGCCAGAGTAGGTGACTATGGCATTGTGCATGTGACTGTGCTGCACATCTGACCTGTTAGTGGCATACTGGTGACCATTATCATTATTGTGCTTAACCTGGGAGAGCCTCTCTACCTTAGTCTCTTCGATTCAATGCCCTTTTATCCTTGAAATCATTAGCCTTTCCCTGGCTGAAGAATAATGTCTCATTAGGGTTGTTTCTCTTTAAACTACCTCCTACAGCCCCAACTTCTATAAATGAATTGTGTTTCATGAATTTTTCCTAACATCAAATACAGCCTCAGCAAAGGTCTTCCAACAGGGAGATAGCTGTTCAGAGATTTGAGAATGTCAGCCAAGATTCAGAAATCCAATACATATCCTACTTTTTCATCCTTGTAACCAAATGATGTACAACAATGCATGACAAAATACTCCTCCCATACTTAACCAGAGTCTGTCTTAACAAAACCGAAGGCTGTAAATCTGTATGAGAACAGAGAGCCTCACCATTCTCCCCAAGGACACAAACAGTGGCTATGAAATAAGTAACAACTGTATTACAGCTTAAATTCTGAGCAACCATTTGTAGAAGGTTCTAGATACAGTGAAAGCCTCAAATCCATCTCCAGAGTTCCCATGTGGATTAAGCCTCCACTGCATTCCCTCTGACCACTGGCTAGGGAGACTGGAGCCCTCACAGTGCAGTGGGGTGTGTGGTAGGCTGCTCATCACAAAGACAACAATTCAAAACCACCAGCTGATCCAAAGAATAAAATATAGGCTTTCTACTCTCCTAAAGAGTTACAGTCTCAGAAACCTACAGGTCTATGAGCCCCTAATAAAATGATTTAAAAAAGAAAAAGAAACCTACAGGGCAGTCGATTGATTTTGTTGTTTTGTTTAATTGACCAGGGATGTAAACAGTCTTGCCTCCCAAGCAGAGTGCATTAGATAGTGGATTACCAACTCTCCTTCCAGCCAGTCAGCCCAGGAGGAGCAATCTCCCCCAGGGCCTTGGCTCAGTATGTCCCAGATGGAGACCACAGACCACTGTACTGAGGGTAACATAGTCCTAAGTCATGCCCTAGAGTCGTGCCCTGAATGCTTTGAGCAAAAGGCCCTCAACCTTCCTTTATCTAACGTTATATATGTGACCCTTCCCTGATTCCACAGAACCACCTGGAACTGTGATGTACTCATCTGGCACCCATCCTGAATTGGTACCAGTTTCTTTGTGTTGCACACCTGAGAAGCTGCCTCACTGAAACCCTGTCTGTGATTATGACTTCCTGTTAATGGTCTCCCTCATCGAGTTGATAGGTCTTGTCTTTATCGTTTAAAACTTACCGTATACAGTGAACCCTCATTTATCGCAGTTAATCGGTTCTAGACCCTACCGTGATAAATGAAATTCCGCGAAGTAGGATTCCTTATTTGTAAATCAAATATTTTCGTAGTTAGAGCATAGAGGACATGAGAAAACACCCTTTAGTCACCATTACACTCGTATTACCCAATTTATTAAACAAAAAAGGGAAAATACAGTAAAACATTTTGGACGTTACAATTATCATTAATTATTTATTATATTATTTATGGCATCAAGCGTGTACAGTATGAGCCAATCAGTGGCAGTAATGACAGAGCATGCACTGTTACGCAAAAACTGCGATAGAGTGAAGCCGCAGAAGTCGAAGCGCACAGTGGCAAGGGTTCACTGTATATTCAAGTATAAGCTGGTTGGTTGGTTGGTTGGTTGGTTTAAGCTGAGTTTTTCAGCATATTTTTATGCAGATTTTGTGGTAAAATTAGGTGCCTTGGCTGATGTGCAGGTCGGCTTATACTCAAGTATATACAATAATAAATATTCTCCTCATATTATACTTAAGATTTGGGGTTTTCTTTTGTAGCCTAAACCTAATGTCTGGAGACGTTCAGAGTTGACTTTGCACCAAAGGCTGTGATAGTTTGGAAGTAAATCACCAGGTCTTTCTTCCAAGAGGGGATTTGAACCTTCAACCTTTTATTTCATAGCTGAGCACTTTAACTATTTGTGTTAGTCAGGTACTTCCACAAGAATCATAACAATCTAATGGATGAGGGTACCTACCTCTTTCAAATTGTAGCTTTTTATATCTTTGCATAATGTCAGCCGCAACCATGCACTCAATCTAAGGAAAAGAAAATAAACGAGTTTATAGCAAGCTGAGGTCTGGGTTCTGGCACACTATCAACCTGAGCAGAGCCCACTTATCCCAAGAAGCCAGGAAGAACATCTTCCTGGACATTTCCCAAGGCTGCTTTGTTTCATGGTACATGCCTCATTCTCCTGCAAGTGGCCCTGGTTAGGGCAGGCAGCATCAGGACAGCTAATTGCAGTTTCTAGTCCTTCTTTGATCAAGAGCTCAACATACTGTTTCAGGCACTGCAAGACAAAACAGGAAAACACCTTTACTTCATTAAGGGAAAAGTTGTACGTTACAAACAGAACAAACAAAAAACCATCAAGAAAAATTGTTCCATTACAATTTTATATTTTTATTGGGTAGACTAACAACCACTAAATTAGAGGCTTTATTCAACAGACAAATACTGGGCACCTATTCTGTGACACAGGAGAAAGACGGGCTTTCTATTCCCATAAAGAGTTCTGGTCTTGAAAACCCACAGGGGCAGTTCTGTCCTGTCCTAGCGGGTCACTGTGCATCGGCATGGACTCGATGGCAGAGAGTTTGGGTTTGTCTTCATTCTGCGATTGTTATCTCAGCAAACAAAAGAGTCAATAAATCTTACAGCAAGAAACAAGCAACAAAGGAAGTTGGGAAATAGTATTTCTCAAATGCACATTAGACTCTATACTAAATACTTCATATCACAGTATTTCTTTTTATCCTGAAGGCCTTTTTGTGAGACAGGTATGGCCAATCCATCATTTTGGATGTGGAAACCAAAAAGGAAATTATTACTCTGCCCAGTTAGCAAGGGCACAGCCAAGATTCACAGAGGCTGGCTGAATACGAAGCAGCCTGGGCACCCACCTGTAGTTACACTCCTCACTCACCGACACCACGTTTACCTGCCATTGCCATTGGCTTAGCTACCTGGGAAAGCTGCTTAAAAATTGGAAGTAGGTTAAAAAAAATCAAATAGAAGACACGAGGTCCAATTACAATGGATGAGCCTTTCTCAGCATGGGTTTACTGTGACTTTACAGAGGACATCTTAGAATCCCACTGTTTACAGGAAAACTATGTTATAAACACTGACTAGAAGAAAACGTAAGTTTTGACCCATATAAGCACACTACTAATAGTAATGAGATAAGTGGTTCTCAATGTTCCTAATGCCGCAACCTTTTAACACAGTTCCTCATGTTGTGGTGACCCCCAACCATAAGATTATTTTCGTTGCTCCTTAATAACTTAATTTTGCTTTGGTTATGAATCATAATGTAAATATCTGATTTGCAGAATGTATTTTCATTGCTAAAAATTGAACATAATTAAAGCACAGTGAATTAATCAAAAAACAATATGTAATTATATATTGTGAAATATTTATTTCTAATGATAAATCAATGAAATTTTGTCTTGAAGCATGGTGTACCATGGGTAACAATCTTCACGCCTGGAGACAGAGGAGCGGTGTCTCGGTTCCTAAGACCATCGGAAATATGGGTTGTTCGACACCCCCAAAGGGGTCGGACCCACAGGTTGAGAACCGCTGAGTTAGAGGATGAGACAGAGAATGCATGGAGGGCTTCACTGGCTCACGGAGTGAGTAAAGCTGAATAACTTTAGGCAGGAAGCTTGCTTGTGGCGTGAAGACTCTCCACACACTTAATGGAGAGAGCTAGATTTGCTGACCCACAGTGTTGGGGCCTAGTGCCTGTGGGCTGAGACATGTGGTTGAGTGGTGTGGCCCTTGGGCATTTATTGGGAGTGTTACAGCAGCTTTATAATATTGCCCAAGCAGGACAAAGCCAAAGGGCTGTGTGGCTGAGGGACCGGGGATGAGAGATGGAGGTCTGCTCCAGGGATAACTGAAGGAGGTGGTCTTGATTAGAAGAACTGTGTTCTGGGCATTTCTGACCTTGAATTATAACCTGGCCACTTCCTGAATCTACCTCATCATCACGAACATGGTCTTTGAGTTTGTGTGGCCATTGCCTGAGTTATGGAACTCAGGCAAGAAGCAGAGAGTAATATGAGGGGACACGTGGTACCAGACCTTGTCAAACAGGTTGGAGAGTGGAGGCATGTCTGACCTTGACTCACAGAAGCTGGCCTGGGCTGTGGTTGAGTTAGACTCTTCATCCTCCTATGTGAAGTCAGAGGTCTGACCCAGCTCTTGTTCCTTTCTTACAGACAGCCACTCAGTGCGTAACCTTGGCCACATCATTCAACTCGCTGCTTTTCAGACAAAAGTGATTTATCTGGACAATGCCTTACCTGCTGGGGCCCAGGGTTGTGAAAATAAGATTGAAATAAAACAAGTGCTACTGTCTCCCTTTGCCAAGTCTTTTAAATAAATGTTCTCATTTATCTCTGAAGAGAACACCTTGAGTTAGATATTTTACTACTTATTTTAACACTTAATAAATATGAGCCTAGGAGCAAGTTCCTTTAAAACTCTGAAATACAGATTCCATATCTGTTCCATAAATGCACAACATGGACAATTACAGTAATCCATTCAAAGTTACATTAGCTGAAAATACGTGTGTAAAGTTGGGCTTAACCATTATAGTGATATGTCTATTATTATGAGTTCTAATCTGATTACTACTATGAGTGTGGATGATAAGCAGAACCATTTTAGAATTTGAACAAAAGGTCTTAGTGGTTTGCATTTACCAACTGCAAGATTC